ACTTATTACTTTTCTCTTTATTAATGTATGTGTGTACCATCCAGTCAGATCTGACGGGTACAGGAGAAGATTGCGGAGAATCTGGTGGATTTGAACCACGTGCCTTTGGGATTGCAATGCAGCTTCTTGCCACTGGGCCACCAGGGCTCCCTCAGTCTCGTATATATTTATTTATCTGTTACTCATCTGCCTATGCCTACCAGAATTCCAGATCCTTCATATCACCAGTGTATTTCCAGCCCAAGAACAATGCCTAATATATCATAGAGGGCAGATGAATTTTTAAAGATTGAGTGGAATGCTTGGATGGATGGATATGCAGATGGGTCTATGAAAACATAGAGCGCACAATGGGTGGATTTGTGGATAGAAGAATCAATAAATGGATGACTAGACAAATCAATGGATCTGTGGGTGAAAAGTAGGTGGATGGGTGGAGCAATAAAAGCGTATAGTATCTGGATGAGTAAAAAAAGAATGGATGGATGGATGGATGGATGGATGGATGGAAGGGTGGGAGGTTGATTGGATAGACAGCCAAGCCAGTAAGTGGGTAGATGGATGGGAGGGGCTCCCTGGGCTGGGTGGTCCTTTGATGTTCATTGGCTGGATTTACTGTATCTTGCTCCTCTTTGGCTCACTGTATCTATGTATCAGATGGCTGACCCAATGAGATGACCAGATGGAGAAGATGGCTGGATCGATGAGAAGTTGATGGATGGAGAGGAGGTTAAAAGGACGTCTGCTGTGGTGAGGGACCATTCTGAACTGTGACCCTGCTGCTTTTGTTTTCCAGGTTGCCCTCCACCTGTGGTGCCCCTGTGTGCCTCCGTGTCTTTGCTGGGTGGCCTGACCTTTGGCTACGAACTGGCTGTCATATCAGGTGCCCTCCTACCTCTGCAGCTTGACTTTGGCCTGAGCTGCTTGGAGCAGGAACTCTTGGTGGGTAGTCTGCTGCTGGGAGCCCTCCTTGCTTCCCTGGTGGGGGGCTTCCTTATAGACCGCCATGGCAGGAAACAGGTCATCCTCGGGAGCAACGTGGTGCTGCTGGCGGGCAGCGTGAGCCTGGGCTTGGCTGGCTCTCTGGCCTGGCTGGTCCTTGGCCGCTCGCTGACGGGCTTTGCCATCTCGCTCTCCTCCATGGCCTGCTTAATCTATGTGTCCGAGCTGGTGGGGCCACGGCACCGGGGAGTGCTGGTGTCCCTCTACGAGGCAGGCATCACTCTGGGCATCCTGCTTTCCTACGCGGTCAACTATGCGCTGGCCCGTGCCCCGTGGGGATGGAGGCACATGTTTGGCTGGACCGGGGCACCAGCTCTGCTACAATCCCTCAGCCTTCTCTTCCTCCCCGTGGGCACGCCTGAGGCTGTGGCCCATAAGGACCTCATCCCACTCCAGGGAGGGGAAGTCACCAAGCTGGGCCTGGACAGGCCGCGCTACTCCTTCTTGGACCTCTTCAGGGCTCGGGACAACATGCGAGCCCGGACCATGGTGGGGCTGGGGCTGGTTCTCTTCCAGCAGCTAACAGGGCAGCCCAACGTGCTGTGTTATGCCTCCACCATCTTCCTCTCCGTCGGCTTCCGTGGGGGGTCCTCGGCCGTCCTGGCCTCCGTGTGGCTCGGGGCTGTGAAGGTGGCGGCAACTCTGACCGCCATGGGGCTGGTGGACCGAGCAGGCCGCAGGGCGCTGCTGCTCACGGGCTGTGCCCTCATGGCCCTGTCGGTCAGCGGCATAGGCCTGGTCTGCTTCGTCATGCCCATGGACTCGGGCCCGAGCTGCCTGCCCATGCCCAATGCCACCAGACTGCCTGGTAGCCCTGGAGACTCCAACCTACAGATGGCTTCCGCTCCACCTCCATTGCCAAGAACAGACCTAAGGGAACCAGTCTTGTCAGCCTCTGTGAAAGCCAAACCCCCTCGCAGAGCTGGAGACCCGATGGCCGCCCCCCTGCTGACCCTGAGTGCTCCCTCCCCGGAGCCCCCTTTGCCTGCCCCTGGACTCGCTCTGCTGCACTGGACCGCCCTGATCTGCCTGATGGTCTTCGTGAGCGCCTTCTCCTTCGGGTTTGGGCCAGGTCAGTGGGGGTGTTCTTGCCAGCAAATCTGGAGCCGTGGCCCCTCCTCACCAGAAACTTGGGGCAGAAGGGAGCCCAGAAGTTTTATCCTAAAGCTCATGATTTTTAAGCTTCAGTACCCCTCACCTGCACATGCTCCTTTCAGGACCTTGTGCCTAATTGGATTTGTCATTTTATTTCTCAAAAATGGTCTTCCCCACAAGTCCTAGGGTTTCCCCCCTGCATAATTAATGAAAAATGGTTTACTGGGGAGGAAAAAAATGGAGTGATCAGCCGTCTTTTATCCAGAATGTCCCAGATTGCTCTGAAAGTTTTGTTCCCTGGGAACCACAAAACCCCAGACAAGTTGAGATGGTTGGTCATCTGAGGGGATTCTTAAAGGTGGATGGGGGAAAAATTGGGGAGAGTTTGGCATCAATGAATCTGACATTTGCTTGTTTCACTTTGTGGGGAGGTTGTTTGCTTCATGAAGCATGTTGGGCCGGGCTAGTTGGTGCCAGGCCATGGTTCCAGGCCTTCACATTGAAGCCCCCTCCTCGTCCTCCTCTTCCAGTGACGTGGGTTATCCTCAGCGAGATCTACCCCATGGAGATTCGAGGGAGGGCTTTCGCCTTCTGCAACAGCTTCAACTGGGCCGTCAACCTCCTCATCAGCCTGTTCTTCCTTGATCTTATCAGTGAGTCCTCCGTCTCATTTCTGACCTCGCTCTTTCAAAATCCAAAGTCATTTTCTCCAGAGAGCCGGGGCAGCCCTAAGTCAGGTTATAAGTGACAGAAGACAGGACGCAAACCAGGCTTGAGAAAAAGGGACTGTTGCTAAAGGAATAGCTGAAGTAACTTTTTAAAGAGGGGTTGGCTTCAGGCACAGTTAAGGAAGTCAACTCACACAGAGACATCAACCATCTTGAACACTCTTTGGTCTCTTTGCTGATTTATGTGCTTTATTCTCAAGTGGGGGCCACATCAGGGCAGCAAAGGTGGCCACCCAGAGTGCTCTGCCACTTGACAGCACAGTGAAGGAGAGCGCCTCTTTCCCATTGGTTCTACCAGTCCTGGGACTGTCTCTCATTGGCTCAGCAAGATCACATGTCCACCTTTGAACCAATCACTCTGCCTGGAGAGTTGGACTAGTCTGATGCTCAGGGATGGTACCAATACTTCCATGATGGGGAAAGGAGGGCAAATGACCTAATAGGACCTTCTGTAGTTATACAGACAGAGGCTGGGGGTGGACAGGGCGGAGGTATTTGTCCAAAAGAAAATAGGGATCACATATCAGAAAAAGAGGGAGACAAATATGACAGGGGGCGTGGCTTTCAAAGCATCCACTCCGTCCTCACTGGGGAGGGCTGACTCTTATGAAAATACTTAGGGGCAAAGGCTGAAGGAGGAACATTTTTTTCCCCAAAGCAAGACTGAATAATGCATCTTTTCCTACCTAATGTTCAAACCCAATCTGAACGGGTGGAGGATGGTGGTGGACATTTTCTGGGCCCAGGACACAGTTGAAAGATGACATAGTGTCAAGATGCTCCTGACCCAAGGCCACTCATCAGCTACAGGTCTTGTTGTTGTTATGTGCCATCGAGTCGTGTGCGACCCATAGCGACCCTATGTACAACTAAACTCTGCTCTATCCTGTACCAATCTTACTGTCTCTGACACACCTATCCCCATTACCCCAGTCACTGACTGAATCAATCCATCTCATCGAGGGTCTTTCTCTCCTGCGCTGTCCCTCCACCCTCCCAAGCATGATGTCCCTCTCTAAGGACTGGTCCCTCCTTGCAACATGTCCAAAGTATGTCAGATGAAGACTCAGATTCCTTGCCTCCAAGGAGTAGCCCGGCTTCACCCTCTCCACAATGAACCTGTTAGTTTTCTTAGCAGTCCACGGTACCCTCAATACTCTTCTCCAACACCACAGCTCAAAGGCATCAATTCTCTTTCTATCCTCCCTAGTCGTTGTCCAGCTCTCTGATGCATAGTCATAGTGGTCTCAAAAGTCTCTTTGAGGGTCCCAAGGCCTTGATCTGGGGGTCCAGTTACCACCCTACTTCCTTTGCCCAAACTTCTCTGCAGAGATACTCTTACCTCTGGGGGACCTGTGGAGGACACTGTGGAAGAACTGCCCACCGCGGCTGCCTTCCATCCCCTGTCTCCCAGCTGCCTCTGTCTTAAAACATTCCATTTGTGTGGAATGAATAAGCTATTGAGAAAGTGGAGAAAAGGGAGGGGTGGTAAGCGAGAAGAGGCATTTTTATCAAAATTGTGTGACACAAGCAGGGGAAACATTACCAACCCCATTTTACAGATGGAGAAGTGTGTCCTTCCTGAGTCCTGCCAGCCAGAAGCCTCAGGTTTCCTGACTACCAGCCCTGTCCTTTTTGCCAGCACAACCGTCAGGTCCAGCTAGAGGGCTAACCTGACACTCTGGCTCCTGCCTGAGACTCTAGGAAGAGAGAAAGGCAGGTCGAGACAGAGGGAGTGAGCTGAGACTCAAGAGATGGAGCCGTGACATCTGCCCTCCTTCCCAAACCACTCAGACATGGGCCAGCTTGGCAGAAATCCAACTCTTTCTGCCTGGCTGATTCACAGAATGACCAATTCATGGAATTTCTGAGGATTTGCCCTCCCTCGTCCCTACTACTCACACCATCAAACAGAACTTTGCCAAGGTTCTAATCCCTGCAGCTTTGTTTGCTTGTGATTTGAGTGCATCACAATTTGCCAGAACAAATTGGCTTTCCATTCGGCCGTTCACATGCATTGCATGTCTGTATGGCATTAATTACAATACTCGCAACATAACTACACTCTCTTCGTTTCCTCCCTGTGACACTCCTTTCTGTTAATCCTCCTGTCATCCCCTCCCTGCCTTCTGAGCTTTATTCCTGGGCCCATGCTGCCCTTTTGGTCCTTTGTGGTTGTTGGTTTTGCTGCCGAATCACCTGTCATTTTCCCTCAGTGTGTACTCTGAGCACACGACACTCAGCAGTCTGTGTTTACTGGGGTGAGTCATCCCCTTAAAAACCATTTGTCACTCTCTGCGTGTCTGTGGCTTTATGGCCTCTGGTCCTGTGGAGGGACACACAGTTCTCCTCGTTGAAGACCCCTTTCTGTCACTTTTGAGATATTTGTCATTCTGTGAGCCAGTTTACTTGGAGGGTTTCCTGTGGGTGACCTGGGGTTTAATACTGGGCCTAAACTGTTTCATTTGACCCACACTATGGGGTTGGAGTCCTCTGCTTCCCCCACCCACACGTATCCTCTTTTCTTCCTAGATGCCATTGGCTTGTCCTTGACCTTCCTGCTCTACGGACTGACCGCTGTCCTTGGCATGGGCTTCATCTATTTATTCGTCCCTGAAACAAAAGGCCAGACGTTGGCAGAGATAGATCAGCAGTTCCAGAGGACGCGGTATGAGCTTGGCAGGGTGGCCAGGGGGACAGAGTTGCAGTAAACCCCGAGCACGTGGTTGTGGAGTTTTAGCCTTTGTACCTCTCATTGCTAGGAGAGCACTCGTCTTCTTTTTAAATTTTTTTATTTTATTTTATTATTTTTGTGTGCGTGTACTGTCAAATCAGATCTGACTGGTACAGGAGGAGATTGCCCCTCCTTCCCCGGCAGAATCTGGTGGATTCGAACCATGCACCTCTGGGATTGTAGTTGCAGCTTCTTGCCACTAGGCCACCAGAGCTCCCACTTTTCTTCTTGACCTCTCCCGCATACTGCCTGCACACTGCGAGTTTTGTCTGGTTGACCATTCATTGTTGTATTTTAAGGCCTAGGATGGTGACTGACATGTCACAGTGTCTTTTTGGAGTTAATAAAAGGATGTCAAGGACGACCTCTCTGAGGTGGTGACACTTGAGCTGAGTCTTGGATGGTGAGAAAACGTCAACCATCTCAAGCCATTTCCTAGAGGGAGATGAGCTAGGCAGAGAGGATGAGGCCCCTAGGGATGGGAGAGGGTCCCCCACCTTCTCCCTGCGGCAGTCCCATAGCCTGACACCCTCTGACCCTGCTCGCTCTTCACTCACCAGGTTCACCCTAGGCTTTGGCCGAGGACAGAGCTCAGCTGCCGTCCAGTACAGCCCCATCAGGGTCTCCACAGCCTCTTGAGGTGCCCGTCTGCCTGGACGATGCTGGGACCATGGCTTTAGAAGACGGGTATCTCCAGCTCCAAGTGGTCCCGGGGCCCCAGAGTTCCAAGGGATCTTTCTGGAGACACTTGTGCTATAGCGAAGGCCTCTTTTTGTTGTTGAGACACAAGGATAAAAAAGCCTGAGAACCCACAGATCTTCACTTTCGGTCTCAAGCTCCTAGGATTCGTGTAGATCAACTTTTGTGCCTTAGTTTCTCTATTGACTTGGACTATCTCTGCAGTATTTTAACGGGAACATTTTATGGAGTCTTCCTCAAGTCATAGGCTTTGCCAGAGAACCTTTCAGCTATGAATCCTGGCAGGAAACTTCTCCTGGTATCACCATTACATTTAACCAAGGATGCCGTATTATCTGTCCTGTTTGAATCTACCTGAGATTTTCTAATGAGGGGAGAAAGCCAGCATTTTTGGCTCTTACATCTCAACATTATCACAGCAGTGGGCGTGAGCGTGGTACAGATGCTGTGAATGGTACAGGATACGGCAAGGCTGCTGTGTGGTGTTCTTAGGGTCGCTGTGAGTTGGAGTCAACTTGATGGCACGCAACACTAACAACCTATCTCTCACCCAGATTATTTGACATTCATCATGAACTCAGAAACCTGCAGTAGGATCCAACATGATGAGTATGATTTTTATCTGAATAACGGATTACTTACATCAACGAGGAAGAAAAGTTCTGACACACATCCCCTCTCTCTCCTCAGAAAAGGCTTCTCATTCAGTCAAGTCGCCAGTCCTTGTTTCCTTTTTATCTTGCTCATTAATATCAACAAAATATTCCAACCAACTTGTGTCAGAACTTCCTTCATTCTTCAGGGATGTGAGTGGCTGCTTTGCTGGGTCATGGAGCATTTGTCTCTACTCCAATTTTACCTAATGATGAGGGTTGGCATTAGGTACAAGAGGTCAGTAAAAAAGAAAATCAATTGCTGTCTGGAATTTACAATAAAGAACCTCGTATGTATACAACATGTGTCCTTTAGCTTAATGTGAGTGAGAGGTGTGTGTGTGTGTGTGTGTGTGTGTGTGTCTGTGCCTGTGTGTTCAAATACTTGTGCTTTTCATAGAGACCCAGTTGTTAAAGGTCTACCTGTACACCGTCTGTCCTTGTGGCCCCTTCAAATCCGGTTTCTCTCCACTTCCATACACACCTCTCTCCATGATTCTTGCCAGACAGGGAAATAATTTTCTAGTCTTTAGTAGGAGGATCCCTTCCCATTTCTCAACTAACTTTGTAAACTCAGATCAGGCAGAAAAGATCACGGAGCGAAGCTGGTCATGGTCAGGGTATAGGGAGTGCTGGAGTCTGCGGAACCACAACACAGACCCCCTACAGCAGACAGCTGGTATTGCGTTCTGGCTGGTGGCGTCCCCAGGGCAATGAGGTACGTAGCTAGTCTACTGTCTCATCTTCCAAGCAAAGTCAGAAATTCTACATTTTTTACCAACATGTCCTCATATCATATATTGGCAATTGATTTTCTTTTTTAAAATTTTTTATTATTTTGTGTGTGTGTACCGTCAAATCAGATCTGACTGGTGGTACAGGAGGAAATTGTCCCTCCTTCTCCAGCAGAGTATTTGGTGAATTCGAACCGCTAACCTCTGGAATTGCAGCTTCTTGCCACTAGGCTATCAGAACTTGCTAGCATGTGATTTTCTTTTTTTTAAAAAAAAAATTTAAAAACAGCTTGCAAACTGAACAAAGCACCCCTGTGCGCGACATCATTACTTTCTGTTCTTTATATTTCCTTCTAGACCCTCCTTCTCAGGTTTATTTTATATTGTTTGTTTACAAAGTCCATATACATTGTGTTTCATACTAGTCTTCATTCACATTGTTTCATACAGTCAGTCCTGTTCATTATGTTTTATCAAATTAATCACCATTGGACTATGCCCACCATTACCCTGTCTTTTCAGGTCCCGACTCGATCTTTTCCATTTCCTTTACCCCTCCCTCCACCACTAAATTGTGCAACCCTGTGGTTTTGCCCCTACCCATCCTCACCCCTCTGCTCCCACCCCTTCCCCCCTTGGATCCTCATACATGTTTTACTAGTTTTCCTTCTATTTTTACAATAAAGCAGTCCAAATGTCCAACCAAAACCGAATGGATGGAGAAATGGTGGTACACACACACGATGGAATACTATACAACACTAAGGAGCAACGATTTTGAAAAGTACCACATAACTTGGGAGGGACTGGAGAGCATTATGCTGAATGAACTAACTCCTATTGGTCATTGAAGCACCAAGGAGTTCTGTGGCCTCATTTGTAGGAACTTGCACTGTTGACCCACAGGCTGGTCCCTCAGTCCTCACCTGTGCGATCCAAGTGGCCCTAGGCTCTTCTCCTCTCTGCCATCCTGTACTGTTCAAAGGCTACTCATTAGAATGGTAGAGTACGACATCAGAAAGTGTCCTGAGCACCCATACTAATTATCTATGCTAATGAGCACGGCCCCCCATGACAGCAAGCCTCTGACATCATCAAGACCTCTGCCCTCAACATGCCAACCCCAAGACCAACTGAATTTCCAGCCTGGACCTCCTCCTGCCTTGACATGGCTTCTCGTCCACTCTGGAGCTCAGTTAACCACTTTGCAATTATTTCTGTTGCAGGCACCCTCTTGTACACATGCTAATACCACTCCTGCATTCATTCAGACTCCTGTCCTCTCTGCCAGCACGTAGGGGCTGTGAATCTTGAGAAAGGTTGTCACATTACTTGACAAACAGGTTTCACTTGAAATCTGTCCCTGAAGCTCAGGCTGACTTCCCAAACCATCCTCCTCAACGGTACACTACCTCACCCCTGACTCAGCTACTTCAGACCTTCTCCCGGAGTGAGCTCTCTCCCAGCTGGTCCTTGTTCGCTGTTGTGAGGTCGGCCTTGACTCCCGGGAACCCATGCACAATAAGACGGGACCACTGTCATCCCCAGGGAGCTCTGGTGGCCTGGTGGTAAGGGATTGCACTGTCAACTCAAAGGCATGTGCACATGTTTGAATCCACCAGCTGATCTGTGGGAAAAAAACGGGCAATCAACTTCCATGCAATCTACTGCCTCTGAAAACTCTGGGGGGGGGCAGCTATGAGTTAGGGTGGACTCCACATATTGCGATAACAACCACCACAACAATCGTGCTCTCTAAGTGCCGAGGGGCTGACTCTCAGGAGTAGATCATCAGAGTTCCCCTCCTAGTCTGTCTCAGTCTGGAAGCTCCACTGAAGCCTGTTTAGCGACACAGCAACACCAAAGCCTCCGCTGATGGCTGGATGGTTTGCATGTGAGGAGCATTGGCTGCAAACGGAACCAGGTCTTTGCATCGAAGGTGAGAACTGACCTCTCTAGTCATCTTGCTTCATCCATCACCGAAGGACTGACTACATTTAGAAGGGGGTGGGGCAAGCCTACTAACGCCCTGGTCAAAAGAAACAGGATTGGTAATAAAATGAATGCATTATGCGAAGATTTGAAGATGTGGGGTGTGGGTAGCACCAAACTGCCTGTGGAAAGGAACTTGCTGAGGTTTGACAGTGAATGGGGTTTTAGTTAGGAAAAAAATGCAGAAGCAAAGAAGCGTGTTGTTGACGGACTTGTAGAATCTATTGTTGAAACGCTGGCAGGAATGTGCTGTCAATGAGAGTGCAAGTATTGTCAGGATTTCTTTGGTCAGTGGAGGTTTTCCTTTAACAGAAAAGCTAGGCTTGAGTTTCAGTGAAGGTAACTCTTAAGGGCCTCATCCACTCAGTCACGCCTTCCACTTTGCCTGCCACATGAGTGCATTTTTATTTAACAATCAGCCTGATGACAATCAGTTTAGAATTTTGAGGAGCCCTGGTGGCACAGTGGCTTTTACCGAAAGATTGGTCCTCTTGAAGAGAGAGGAAGAAGCGGTCTCCTTCTGCAAAGATTGCAGCCTTGGAAACACTACGGGGCAGTCCCATCTTACAGGATTGCTAAGTACGTTGTGTAAAGACCAAGGTGCATCCATCCAAGCCATGGTATTTGCAACTGCTTCATATACGTGTGAAAGGTGGACAATGACTACGGAATCCTGAAAAAGAACTGATGTTTTTGAATTGTGGTGCTGAATTCACCGAGAATATGGTGGAGTTGAAACTGGCTCAGATTAGGAGAGAAGCTAGCTTCCCACGGTGTGACTCTGGTTAGCACCGATGTAGGGAGGCCTGTGACCCACAACAAAGGCGGCTAGTGGTGGCTGGGATCTTCTATCACCCGGGGTTTCTCTTATCTCTAGTCAGCAGATGTTGGTGTCTTTCTTCAGAGAATGCAGCACAAGGCAGCTTTAACTGGCTAAAATCACTTTATTTTGGCCACATTTGAAGCGATTGGATGTGTGAATGTTTGCGCTTGGGGCCGGTGAACTTGGCGTTGAGCATCCTAACCTACTGTGGAGAAATAAACAGCCTAGGGGTCACTTTGTAGAGGCCATGGTCATGGTTGTGTCCCGCCCCCCACCCCAAACTATGTGCTTTCTCTCCTAAACCCTACATCTGCAGTTGTGATTTGGAAATAGGGTTTTCTTTGCTAGGGTCTCAAGGTAGAATTAGTGTAGGAGGTGTTTTACGTCTTTTTTGTTGTTGTTCATGTGAATTTTCAAAAAATTCCTTTTTAAGTAGGGTTGCTATGAATTGGAGCTGACCTGATGATACCTAACAACAGCGGGCCAGTAGTAAGGAGTTGTGCTGCCAACCCAAAGGCAGGCAGTTCGAATTCACCAGCTACTCCACAGGAGAGAGATGGGTAATCTCTTCGTGTGATTTACGGTCTCTGAACACCTGCTGGAGGGTCAACTATGGGTTGACTCTGACTCCATAGCCTATAACAACTATAACAACAACAACAGCGGCAGCAGCAGCACATGCTGAAAAGGCACAAAGATCACCCCCACAGCTGACGTAGAAAGAACTCACTCCCCAGA